GACATGATTCTGGATTAGTTAAACTTCAGGTTACTTTCTTAGATATATAGAAGGTTAGGAAACCACCGTGGTGTAGTGGTTTGAGCATTGGATTATGACTCTAGAGACATGGATTCAAATCCCAGCTTGGTCATGAAAATCCACTGGGTGGCCTTGGGCAAGTTACACTCTCTCAGCATCAGAGGACGATAAAGGCAAATATCTTCTGAACAAATTTTGCCAAGAAAACCCTATGATAGGTTTATCTTAGGGTCACCATAAGTCAGAGATGACGAGAAGGCATACGAAAACGATAGGATGTTAATGCATTAGAAAATAAATTTGGTATTATATTACCTACAGAATTCATTCATAGCATACTTTAAACAAAATTCCTTGAGATATCCTTATGTCCCAAGAGCTGTTTCCAGTTGTGGAAGCTAAGCTAGGCCCTCTCCCTCTTGTTCTTCTACCAGCAAGCAAGTTATTTACTTATTCACAGGGACTTGTAACAATTGGCTGGCTGCTTAGAAGGAAACTTTGAAAGGGCAGATGCCATGCTTTTAAATTGCTTTCAATTTTGTATCTAAATCTAACGGGGGGGGGGGGGGGGAAGGTAGGATATACATCAGATACATAATAAAAACAATGCACTTCTTCTTGGCCACAATGCACTCTAGAAATGATGCATGGCTAACCCTGCCATCTAGTAAGGAAAAGCAACCTGGAGGGATACAGATGGACATTGGAAGTCAGGAATTAATGTCTTAATGTCCATTAGAACGCCAAGCAGAAAAACATCTTTGGCTGCAACTAGTTCTAGCTGCCTTAAATCCCATTAAAAGGTGTGATATAAATCCCATAAATAAATAAATAAATAAATAAATAGTTCTATGATTTTTTTACTGATCCATACTGATCCAGTATGGTGAGTCTTGTACGTAAAAACTCCTCATTGGTCTATTAGTCTTCATTGGAATCTGCTTTTCCACAGCTGTGAGATTACATCTTCCACAATTCCTTAGCACTGGCCATGATGAATAGGATTTGTAGCCAAAACATATGGAAGGCTAGTTTCTAGTCTCTGATCTTTAATCTTTGGATGGGATATGTCCACCTATACCCCTCTATACAGTGTTCTCAGGTCATTTTTCCTTACTAGATGGCAGGTTTAGCCATGCATGCATTATGGCCAAGAAGAAGTGCACTGTTGTTGTTTGATGTACAACATTAGCAATATCATTAAATAAACAGAATGTATCAGCAGTTTTTCTGAAACATTCAGAAAAATGTATCAGAATTTTTTTTGGGGGGGAGGGGTTGGTCTGTCTTTGTTTTCTGATGGGTTTGCAATTTCAGAATCAATACTATAGCAACCATATGGCTCAGCCTTAATTGCCAATTTCCTTACCTTATTTGCTGGCCAAAGCCTTCCAGTATGTGTATGCTGATTATTATGAATGAATATGATAATGTACCTATTTTTGTCTTTGTTTTTTAAAAATCCACTTCTAAAGCTCCCCAAGCTGAATGGAAATCAGACACTGCTGTTAAAGTGGGTGTTAATGGTCTTGATTCAATTACAGAGTAAACCATTTTCTAATTAGACTCCTTGGAAAACCTGCAATAACTGAATAATAACCATATTCATCACAAGGCAAAGCATCTGTGTATTCTTACTGTGTTGCATACAAACTACTTATTGCTAGAATATTATTTTTAAAATTAGCATACAAGGCTCATTCATGTGCAATGCCAAGCCATGGTTTGTCATTTCATAATATACAACCAAGGCAGAGACATGTTTAAACTGACAAACTATGGTCTGTTCCCTTCTCCACCCTTAAATTCATACTGCAAGCTAGGTTTGCAATCCTGATATGGAGGGCGAGCACTGCTTACCAGTTCAGACAGCAAGTGATAGGTTGAAAGCAACCACCATAACAAATTTTAGGCATTATATAGATGTAGTGTGGTGAAGTAGTTTGAGTGTTAGACCAAGACTTCGGGTGATAAGGCTTTGAATTCCCACTTAATCACAGAAAGCCATTGGGTG